GCCCCGGGGCGTGGGGGGGTCCCACGAGGGGGATTCGGGGGTCCCACGAGGGGGGAAAGTCCGGGGCGATCGGGGGGTCCCGCCCCGGGGCGTGGGGGGGTCCCACGAGGGGGATTCGGGGGTCCCACGGAAGGGGAAGGTCCGGGGCCATCGGGGGGTCCCGCCCCGGGGCGATCGGGGGGTCCTGCCGGGGGTGTGGGGGTCCCACGAGGGGGTGGAAGGTCCGGGGCCATCGGGGGGTCCCGCCCCGGGGGTGCGGGGGTCCTGCCCCCGGCCGTGGGGTGGGGGGTCCCTCCCGGGGACGCAGGGCTGGGGGGGGCCCTGCCGGGGGGTTTGGGGAGGGGAGTTGGGGTCGCGGGGGGCGCACGGGGGGGGTCGTTGGTCCGGGGGAAGGGGGGTCAGAGCGGGGAGTGGGGGGGTAAATTGGGGTTCCACTCCCAAATGTGTGCCCCAGGATGGCGGGGGGGGTGCTGGAGGTGCAGGGGGTCCCCCCCGACGCCCCCGAGGAGCTGCTGGTCCTGTACTTCGAGAGCCGGCGGCGCTCGGGCGGGGGGCCCGTGCAGAGCTGCCAGCGCCTTGGCCCCCTCCTCTTCCTCACCTTCGAGGACCCCCAGGGTAAGCGTGAAGGGAAGGGGGTGGAGTCCCAGTTCCAACTGGGAGCACTGGGATGGGATTTGGGGGTCTCAGTCCCAGTGGGATGGGGTGGGGGGGGTTCCCAGTCCCACTGGGGGCACTGGGATGGGATTTGGGGGTCTCAGTCTCACTGGGATGGGGTATGGGGGTCTCCCAGTCCCACTGGGGTGGGGTTTGGGGGTCTCAGTCTCACTGGGATCACTGGGGTGGGGTTTGGGGGTCTCATTCTCACTGTGATGGGATTTGGGGGTCTCAGTCCCACTGGGAGCACTGGGATAGGGTTTGGGGGCCTCATTCTCACTGGGATGCAGTTTGGGGGGTCCTGGCCCCACTGGGGGCACTGAGGTGGGCTGGGGGGTTCCCAGTTCCAGCTGGGATCACTGGGATGGGGTTTGGGGGTCTCAGTCCCACTGGGATAGGATTTGGGGGTCTCAGTCCCACTGGGATGGGGTTTGGGGGGTCCTGGCCCCACTGAGGACACTGAGGTGGGCTGGGGGGATTCCCAGTCCCACTGGGAGCACTGGGATGGGGTTTGGTGGTCTCAGTCCCACTGGGATGGGGTTTGGGGGGTCCTGGCCCCACTGAGGACACTGAGGTGGGCTGGGGGGATTCCCAGTCCCACTGGGAGCACTGGGATGGGGTTTGGGGGCCTCATTCTCACTGTGATGGGATTTGGGGGTCTCAGTCCCACTGGGGTGGGGTTTGGGGGTCTCAGTCCCACTGTGATGGGATTTGGGGGTCTCATTCTCACTGTGATGGGATTTGGGGGTCTCAGTCCCACTGGGAGCACTGGGATGGGGTTTGGGGGCCTCATTCTCACTGGGATGGGGCTTGGGGGGTCCTGGCCCCACTGGGGGCACTGGGGTGGGCTGGGGGGGTTCCCAGTCCCACTGGGAGCACTGGGGAGCAGTGCTGTACCCCCGGGGGTCGCGGGGGGGGGGTCCCCGGTGACCCCCGTTTCCCTCCTCAGATGCTCAGAACGTGTTGGCTCACGGCAGCCACAGGCTGGGGGGGGCCGAGCTGGGGGTGCGTGCAGCCCCCCCCTGGGACCCCCACCACCTGCTGCTGCACTGCCCGGACCCCAGGACGCCCCCCCAGCACCTGGACTCAGCCCTGGAGACCCTGCTGGGGGTCCCCCCCGGCACCGTCACCCTGTGCCAGGGCTCCGTGCCCGGCTGGCACCCGCTGCGCCTGCGGGACCCCCTCACCCCCCCAGGTAGGACCGGGGAGCGCGGGGGGCACCCCCGGGTGGGTGGAGGGCAGGGGTGACGGGATGGAGCCGCCAGGGGGTTGGGGGGCACTGGGGTGGGGGTACAGGGGCTGGGGTGACAGGGGCAGCCTGCTGAGGGTGGGGGCACAAGGGGGCTGGGGGCAGTGAGGGGCAGGGGACAGCTGGCGGGAGCAGCGGGGCGGCGTTTGGGGGATGGTGGCACAGGGACGGCGCCGCGGGGCGGCCGGAGCGCGGTGGCAGCGCCGGTTGTGG